TTCAACAAATCAAAACCACATTTTTCACCCACACAAGACAGACATGCCTACGGAGGTGTGGAGGCCTCACACTTATACACACACCCACACGAATATACACACTTACATACATCATACTCACTCACTCCCTAATGAGCCAAATGATAACACACACCTACAGTAATACTCATGCTTACACATATCATACTCACTCACTCCCTAAGAACCAAATAACACCCACACAAACACTAAACAGAGACATCCCCTCACCAGGTCCAATAAAACTGTCAAACTGACCAGAGAATTCAGAATGATATGTATCTATCCAGCACTTATCTCAAATAACAACTTAAAAGAGACTGTTTGACCAACACAAGGAATGTTAAAAGATTCATGTTAAAAAGATAAAAAAATAAAAAATAAATGAAAACTACAGACAAAAGTTCATTTTCACCATCAAGACATTCATTTCTGTAGTTTACTGCTACCAGCAAGCAGAAATATTTCTTCTCACGATGATGGCCATTTCGGTCGAAACTAGTCGAGGAATCTAAATGGAATAATAATAAAAAACGAAAGAATATTAATCTACAACCCAGTGTGTCTAAAGATTTTAATGTTTTATTTTATTATTGTTCAAAATATATATATATATATATATATATATATATATATGTGTGTGTGTGTGTGTGTGTATAATTTTTTTTGTATGGCGTAATGACATAAAATACTCATGAGAATAAAGTATGTTTACCATTGACTTTCTTCCAGCTATTCTGTTCGATCAATGTATTAAGGTGTTGTTATATCAGGAATTTGATAATGCCCATAATTGGGGTGTAAACTCAGGGGGTATTAGCTTTTCACATAGCACTACCATTAGATAAAATTAGTTCTTAGGAAACGATAGGTAAATCTGCTAGTAATAATAATAATAAAAAACAAGGGAAATTTTTATTTGATATGTAATACTAAAGAAAGAATACAAAAAAAATATAATGAAGAAAATTAAGTATATTCTATGTAGTTGGTGGGCCGGTTGAAATATCACTTCAGACCGGATGAAGTTTCCAAAGCGAGCTGGACGTAGTTTGCCCCCGCCCCCTGGATTAGACGATTTAAATCTGAAACGATTTACAGGAAGCGCCCGAGGCATGAAAAGTTCATTATTACTTGAGGCTTAAAATAAAGTTTCTTAGAATCCAAAATCGCTCAATAAACCATTTTCTTCAAAAAAAATCGATGAGATAAAAACATAAATCATAATTACACGTGGGCGTATCTTATCGAGGAGAAAATAAGGAAATGGATTAAAATATAAAATTTCGATATTCAAGGGAAAAAATTCTAATTTCATATTCTTTTCTTAGATTAGAATATATATATATATATATATATATATATATATATATATATATAAATATATGGAAAAATGTACTAAAATTTAATTATAATGCCGAACGCGACTAATCATGATGTAAAAGTAGTAACATACTCGTAAAAGTACTAAAATTTTGCTTATATATATATATATATATATATATATGTGTGTGTGTGTGTATGTGTGTGTGTGTGTGTGTGTGTAATTGAAATTAAGATTGCATTAATTAATGACAATTTTAACCTACGAACTTTAAAATTTAAAATTCGCAGAAATTTCAAACTGTTTATGGTGTCAGTTTTCTACGAATTTTAAAAAAAAATAAGATTCAGAGGTGAAAATCGCCATTAACTAATCGTATCTTAATTCTAATTGTAATATATATATATATATATATATATATATATATATATATATATATATATATATATGGTTGGATTGATGTGAGTTTGTGACCTGGGTTTCACGCGTTTGTCTGACGATCGCAAAAGTGTGAAACCCAGGTTCACAAACTCACATCAATCCAACCAAATATGTTAGCTCTATCTCTGATACTGAGCGCTTTCTAATAAGTACCGCGCATATAATATGTAAATAATTATATATATATATATATATATATATATATATATATATATATATTTATTTACACACACACACACACACACACATATATATATATATATATATATATATATATATATATAAATGGTGGTACTCATTTGGAAAAACCATTGGGTATGTTGGTTTGGAGTAGAACAAACCAGTACTCAAGGAAAAATGAGGAATAAAAAAGAAAGAACTAAAAATATGAAATTGAGCCGAAAACAATCGTCAAGATTTCAAGCTCAGAGTCCAAAGAAAAAAAGACAGGTTTCGTTGAATAATTTTGACATGTTCTGTATTCTTATTCTCGATATAATCCTTTCATATTCATGGATAATCTTTTAATTTTCAGTTTATCACAACATATTTGTCCTTTACAACCATGGACACACCAACACGTACTCTATAATTAAAAATACGCTGATGATGACATTATGGTATGTCGAAAGTGCCCTAATAATAGATATAATATAAATCAATACGGCGTTTTCCTCTCGTCTTTCTATAATCAAACTAAAATGGTTATCCGTGAATATGCTCAGATACTATCGAGTATAACTAGACAGAACATCTCTAAATTATTCAAGGTAACCTGTCTCAATGTAAATATGCTGCCAAAATATACGCATTATATATATATATATATATATATATATATATATATATATATATATTTTTGATAGAGAGTATCTGTGAAGATACAAAATGAATAACATATTAATAGGAAAAGTTATTAAGACGACCACACTCTATACACTTTCATTCCAAGCTATAAAATTAACTTATAACTTAGTGTGCATGCGCGAAAATGTTCAAGATCAATCTTTGCCAACCGGCTTCACTCTGCATAATTTAGCATCGTTCCCATAGCAACAGTCCGTTTATTATTATTTTTTTTTATTTCATTTATTTATTTTTTTGTCAGAAATCCAGGGTCACCAGAAAAATATATTTAATTAAAAAACAAAATCTATATTAAGGGGAGAAATGAGGAAATTTTAATGTTAAATTGGGGGAAAAATGAATCCTTGCACGCAAAATCAGAGACAGTTGAAATATCTGGGGTACATAATAAGGAAAACAGCTTTGGAAAATTTAAAGCTCACAAGACATAATTTTAATTTCATTATTTTACTTGACGCTTTTTTCTTTTGTGTCGCTGGGGTCACTACTTGTAGAGTAGTTTTCACAGCGGAGGCTTGTATTTCAATAAGTCGTCCTAAATTAGGTTCGACGTACAAAACATTAGGAACTTGAAAATAATAGTTAATGACGCAGCAATCTAGTTGTGATGGTTGATACTTCAATGTCTGACATCGACTGACTCACTCAACACCACTGATCCCCACTGGCGACCGCTACTACTACCACTTATTATGTATGGGAAAGTCTATTAATAATAGAATAGGTACGTCATGTATAACACTACCGCAATCCATCTTATAATTGTGGTTCATGGTGACAATCAAAACAGAATTGTACACTTGCTTGCTAGTTCATTTTGCACCGGGAATGCTGAGGTTTACACCATCCCTTCTATCAATGGGTTGTGTTTGATGTTACATTCTTCCAGACTTTGCCTAAAGGCAGCAGATAGTTTGAATTCAGAGAGACCTTCTCCAAGACTGATTGCTAAGCCAGGCTACAGGATCCAGTGTATTCTGCTGTTTTACGCATAGCTGGGGACAAAACAGATGGATTCTTACATTTCCTAAAGTATTTAAAACTTATGTGACTGTAATGAATACGACAGGAATTCGAAATCGGCTCTAAGTTTTCTGAAACCGGGCCGTTAACCTTACACCCACCGTCAGTGACAAGTTAGAATTCAGTCAAAAGAAAAAACAAGAGACATAACAGGTGAAAAAAAATGAGGGGTCAAAACAAAGACAGCGAGGAATAGTGCGGAAACAATAATTACTTAAAGAGACAAAGAACAGGAAATTGTAGAAATCGATAATCCTAAACGTTCAAATACTATCAATTATTTATGATTTAAAAATTACCAGATTTTTCGGAATTTAATATAAGAATACATTGCAAACTGTTTTTACTATAAGAATTTATTGCCAATGATTTTTACTAGAGGAATGCATTGCAAATGATTTTTACTACAGGAATGAATTGGCAATGATTTTTACTATAGGAATGGATTGCCAATGGTTTTTACTAGAGGAATGCATTGCCAATCATTTTCTCTACAGGAATGCATTGCAAATGATTTTTACTATAGGAATGTATTAATAAAATTCATTTACGGTCTAAAAAATCCCAGGTTATTCTGTACTTTTTTTTAAAGAAACATAATAGATACATATTGTGACTGGGCGGTCGTTTTTTAATGCTGTGGAACTCATCAATCATATGTAGAAATCACCTTCCGCTATAGAAATTACCATCACATTATTAAAACAGGCTATTTCAGCACGAAATTATGAGCGAAAGACATATTCCTTATCATAATTTCATACAAAAAAACCCCCAAAAACACATAAACTGAGCTATTCCAATTTTTTTCATCACAATAACATCGTTGCCAAAAGCAGGAATATATTGCATTTAGAAAAATCATTGCAATATTTAGATATAATCATTCTTATGCGTCAAATCACTTCATTGTCGTGTCTAATCATATCTCTTCACAACATCAGTCAGCTTCTACAATCTGTTGCTAATGATTATACTAAAGAAATCCATTGTCAATGATTTTGACTATAGAAATGCACAGATTATGATTTTTAACATAGAATTGCATTGCCAATGATTTTTAACATAGTAATGCATTGCCAATGATTTTTGGTTTATAAATGCATTACGAATGATTTTTACAATAAAAAAACATTACAAATGATTTCTGCTATCGGAATGTATTGCTAATACATACATACATACATGTACATACATACATATATATATATATATATATATATATATTGTTGGGCTCGTGGCCGAGTGGTTAAAACGTTCTCTTCTTGATGTTATCAGTCTAGAGGAGGTGAGCCCATAGAGCAGCAACTTTGAAAAGTGTCTGTACATAGATATGAAAAGACTGTGATAGATAGATAGATAGATAGATAGATAGATAGATAGATAGATAGATAGATGAACTGACTCAGATAGATACATACATATATAAGTAGATACATAGGTAGATATGAACAGACTGATATATATATATATATATATATATATATATATATATATATATATATATATATATATATATATATATATATATATATATATTGTGATTGATAGATTGATTTGAAAGAACAGTCTTAATTATATAGATAGATAGATAGATAGATAGATAGATAGATATTCTTGTATACGTAACGCATAAAAATCGAATAGATTTAAATCGATCTCAAAAGAATCTACACAAAATCCGAGTAATTTCCTCGGATTAATGATTCCTGTGTGTTCAAATGTGGATTTTACATATGTTTTGGAGACGGAAGACAAAGGTAACATTCCTATTTCACAAAAATATGAGAAAAAAATTAGATATAGGAAATTTTTTTTCCGAAGTTCATACAAAGAGAAATATTTTGTAAATATATAAAGGGTGCGATGGAGAAATTGTCACTTAAATAAGGCAAATACGAAAATTACACTGATATTTCGTTTATGTTCACCACACTTAGGCAAAAATATCTTGAAATACTAAAGAGTAAATTTATACAATAAAATCGCCATTGGCTTCAACGACGGCCTCCAGTCGACTTCGAAATTTTCTTCAACTCTTCTCGACTGTTTAAGTTTCGAATGTTGCCATAATCCTTGCCTTCTGTTGATCTTTGGTGTTACAAGGAGTTTTGTTGGTTTTTCGCTCCACTGCGTCCCACACATAACAAACAAGGTTAGTACAGTCTGGTTAGTTAGGTGGCCAGATGTAAGGGGTGAATTGGTCTCAGAAATTGTCAGATGGCCATGACGATTTTGCACTGCTTGTGCGACAGGGTACGGTGTCCTTTGCCAGACATAGTATCTTCCTGATGCCACCCGCTTGACCCAGGACAGACTACCTCGTCAAGGCCTTCGTATTGAGTCTGAAGCCTTCACAACAAAATCAGTACATTTTTTTATCAGAACGCCCAGAGTAAGGTTTCCTAAATCTTATACGATTGTAATCAAGCTTAGATTCATCCAATTCTTTCCGAATCCTGTGCAATGTTCTCAGGTTGAAACTCAACACTCTGAAATGTTCATATTGCAGTCAAGATTTTTGCCCTGAGAATCTACTGCCAATGACTTTTAATATAGAAATGCAGTGTCAATAATTTTTGTTATAGGAATGCATTGGAAATGATTTTTACTAGAGGAATGCATTGGCAATTATTTTTACTGTAGAATTGCATTAGAAATGATATTTCTATAGGAATGCATTGGAAATGATTTTTACTATAGGAATGCATTGCAAATGATTTTTACTATAGGAAAGCATCGCCAATGATTTTTACTATAGGAATGCATTTCCAATGATTTTAATATAGAAATGCATTGCCAATGATTTTTACTATAGGAATCCATTGCCAATGGTTTTTACTATAGAAATGCATAGGAAATGATTTTTACTATAGAAATCCATTGCCAGTGATTTTTACTGCAGGAATGCATTATAAATGATTGGTATATAAAAATACATTGTTACTGACTTTTACTTTAGGAACGTATTTGATTTTTCTTTTTACTACAACAATGCATTGCTAGTACTTTTTACAATAGAATTGCCTAACTCCAAAAATAAACTTTATTTCAAATACTTATCTGCAGAATCCGAAAATATATACCGATATAAATAATTAAATACATACAGTTTTTAAATTAATTAAATTTTGAGGACATAAAATCAACTTAGATCAATATATTTTCATTCTGTTTTACGTCAAAAGAATATTTGTCTTTCTTTCCTTGCTAAGCCCCTTTCTATTTGTACCTTAATTGATTATCTCTGGCTTCAATGCAACGTTTCGACTTATTAGTGATTATTGCTGTTAGTCATACAAAATCAGAAGTTTCATATTGAATTTCCTTACTTTCTCGCTTGCTCCTGAAAAGCTGCCCACTTCATCTTTAATTTCCTCCACTCCACGTAAACTGATTTGCGCGCCGGCCATATTACGAAGGACGTCGGCCAATCGTCTCCGAATCTGGTGCCGAGATTGAAAGAAGAAATAAGTAATTGATATCCGAATTTGCCAAATGAGAAGGGGGCCAATTCATGAAGAGGAAAATTATCAAGACTTCCACTAAAACGTTTTTCCTCTCCGACCGTTTTCCCAAGACCTTTGAACCTGTCCAACGCGATACTAAACCTCACAGTATCTCATTTGCAGTAAGATGATAGTCCAAGAGACGTAGTAAGAATCAGAGATTGCATAAAAGTGCTTCTTTTTGACTGTATGTCTAACCTCCTCGGATTTCAGTGGATCTGTAGGCCTGAAACTAGACTGACCACTAATTGACGAGAGTTTGAAATATAAACAATATTTAACATTGGAGAAACAATGATATTTTTCCTCCTCTCCTTACAATCTAAATATTATATATATATATATATATATATATATATATATATATATAGAGAGAGAGAGAGAGAGAGAGAGAGAGAGGAACAAATATAGTTTTAGGTATGCTATATTTATGGGATAAAGTGATCAATATCAGAGAGCCTACGTAAATACAAAAGTCAACATTGAAGTCAACATTCAGAGGCGACAGACTGTTTCGTGCAAAACGCAATCATCAGGCCTGATGATTGACTTTAGTTTGAAACTATATATATATATATATATATATATATATATATATATATATATATATATATATACAAAGTTATATGACCCAGTCTGCCATGCTATTTACCCATACCCGTGGAGAGAAGATATGGATTCATGCCTTTCCCAAGGGCATTAGCACGTAAGTGAATGTAATGAACTCTATCGGAATTCGAACTCTGCTCTCCGATTCCTCAATCCAAGCCGCAATCCATTAATCCACCGTGCCTCTTCAAAACAGATTCGAAGATTCCTTGGCAATCCATTATCCACCGTGCCTTTCAGGCCAAGAGTTGGATTCATGCCTTTCTCAAGAGTATTAGCACCTAAGTGAATGTAATGAACTCGATCGGAATTCGAAATCGGCTCTCCGATTCCTCAATCCGAGACGCAATCCATTATTCCTTCGGGCTCCCAAGGGTTTAACGCAATTTTTAGGTTATATATATGTATATGTTTACCTTTACTTTCAGAGTTAGTCTTAAGGTTTTGAAAGCGTTATGAAATTTCTATACCTGTTTATATATACATGTTCATGGGGTAAAATAAAAATCCTTACTTTTACCTTGAAACCCGTTGGTAAAGGAAATTGGACACTATGGTCAACACCAAGCAGTTACCACCTGCTTCTTCGTGACATATATATATCGAAAAACAATAATTATTGATAATTATTTTTGGATAATAAAAATTGTGTTGTATGTATCCACATTAATTCATTAATTAATTCTAATTGCTGCAAGAACTCTACACTTGCTTCTAAATTCATATCATTCACTTGCCTTTCAGTATCTGTCTATATTTCTGAGATGAGGTATCATGTACACTATTTACATTATTCGGACTATTGTCCTCATCTTTGTCGCCATATTTATTACAACGTTTCGGGCTTTCAGTATCTGTCTATATTTCTGAAATGAGGTATTATGTACATTATTTACATTATTCGGACTATTGTCCTCATCTTTGTCGTCATAAGAGGGAAATTAGCAGGAGATAACTGATAACCGACATGGCACGTAGAACTAGGACAGTCTACTCCAGTGAGCGAAATAAAGGGTTCAGTTCGACATTCCAACCACCTGAAGAAGGCCGGAGCGTACAACGGCCGAAACGTTGTGATAAATATGGCGATAAAGATGAGGACAATAGTCCGAATAATGTAAATAATGTACCTTCAATCTCACCTGAGACCATCTTCAGGTGATGCATATCTATGGATATGTTATGCGTTAACATCGTAAATCCGAAATATTTTTTTACCTCCAGGCAAGGGAGATAACTTATGTGATTTTTAATTATTTTTTTTTCATTTTTAAAAGATTTGTTATTTGTAGTATTTTTAATATAGTATTTTTTATATAACTCTTTGCTGCTACATACATTAAGGTACTATATTGCTGTATTTCTACTTTACTATTTTTGATCGCACTTCTCTTATATAAAGGGCTACCTGAATTTTAAGGCTTTGCTTATTATTATATTGATGCGTCATTGATATATTTTCGACTAATATCTGTCTAAACTGTGAATGTGGACATTATCCAAGTAAAATAATTTGTGTGTATATTACTAAATTTAATACAATCACCCTAGTCATCCGTAAAAAACTCTTTTTCGCCGACTAGCGTCCATGAAAAGACTAACATCGTATATCAACTTAAATGACCTTTAGGAGATTACAACTCTGAAAAAATGTTAATGCGTATGTTGGTTTTACAACAACGACAATGACGAGAAGGCTTACGTTTCACTTGAACGATCATAGTTCAATCTCACAACATTTCAAGGAAGAATCGTGTTCATTTAAACGTTCTAAAATTAACGTTCTAAAATTAACATAATTATAGGAGTTTAAAGGATTAAAACTAAAATATTTATGATTATGCGGACATATGGTTATGCAAGAATTTATCATTGCATACCAATCTTCCATGCAAACAAAACAAGCTGTCATTGTTGCAATGTCCGGATAAACATTCTAAAACAAAAAATTACCATCTTTGTTATTTAATTTATTATGTAATTTATTGTAATGTACTTGTAATCTCTGATGATGACGTATGTAATCCAAAATCTTGAGAGGATTAACAATAAAAACATGTGTCAACATGGTGATTTTCTTTCGTGTTTCAGTGATAATGCAAAAAGCTTATTTGACAATATTTTCTGGAACCCCTTGCGTCCTAGTGGCTTCCCGCCTTGCTTGGAGTGAAAAGCTTAAAAAAAATTTTAAAAAGTATAAAATACATCTATCTACACACGAATCCTGAAGAAAAATTATGGACCAAAAAATTAATAGCAATTCGTTCAAAGAAAGAAAATCCCAACAGAAAAGCAGCACTTGCTCTAAGTACAGAGGTTGGTTTTGGGAGCAATCAGCCGAATATGTGGAGCAATTCGATTACCGAAACCTCATCAATAGTCTGTATCCACCATAAGGAGATGCAGCCCGTAGCAGCAGTAATTTTTTCGGTGGTTGGGGTAGTTTTTTTTTTTAATATCTTTGGTGTTGTTAATCAAGTTGTCAGTTTTTGCTATAAACCTCCAACCTGCCAAAGATATGGGTCTCAACTTCAGAAAAATGAAACTTTCTTTTCGCGTTCAGCTCGAAAAAAAAAAGAACTTTCATAATCTATCTTCTGGCGCCGACGACAATTAGGTTTTTTAAATAAAGCTGCGACTCCTTTCTGAAGAAGGAGGCGAACGCGAAAATAAAAAAATCCATAAGAAAGATCTTTTTCTTAGCATTCTGCTGATCTGAACTTCAAGAAACAGTTTTTTTCCCTCTGTGTATCTTGATTCTTCCATAATCGCCCCCACCCCCCCCACACACAAAACACCGACTTCTCTTCAAAATCAGAAAACGCTCACATACAGAACCACAGGAAACATTCATCATCCCACAAAGTCCCGGTTTACACCCACACTCATGCATATATACGCTATCGATCAAAACTTGGCGATACCTTCTAGATTTCGAAGAACAGTCCTAATCCTGAAGGTTGAGAGACTTTTTTCAAAACTGATTTACCCACATATTTCTCTTTCTGTACGCTTTTTTATTTAATATCCCAGTTCACCGCTTATATTCGAGTATGCTCGCCGATCCCTGTTGTAGACGCCCGCTAAGGCATACTTCTGCTTGTTCAACATCCACAGAGCCCTCCTATGGTTTATATTGTAACTATGCTGAACAAACTTAGTTACTGTTTCTGCGAGCATAGGGCATGATCACTGGGATTCTAATTTATCTACACTTGAGACGAAACGGGGTTTTCGATCTCCCAGTACGTTATATTGTCCTATAACTTAGCAATCTTTTCTGTCCGTTGTACACATATTTTCAATCCATCTTTCATAATTTGCGCCATCCTTTCTGCTATTCCGTTTGATACGCTAAGGTTTTTAAATGGTTTGTATCCAATTTTGTTCAACCATTGGCATAGTTCCATGTCAAATAACACCGGGACATTGTCTTATACTAGCGTTTTCGGAATCTCATTTCCTTTACGCTTGTTTCACGATCGAACTTCTTTTGTTGGAAACTTGTATTACTTCTGGCCTGCCTGAATACGAATCGAGCAGTATTTGTAATAATCCTACTCCATTAACATAGACATGACTCATGTGTACTCTGTCCTAAATTTAGGAGTCTTTAGGCCATGTATGCGTTTTTGTCTGCCTGAATTTTCTTCTGTCATTACTCATTTTACACTTTTTTTATACATTCTTCTACATCTCTAGAAGAACTTGACCAATATACCGCTAGCCTTAACCTTATTTGTGTAGACCTCGGAACACCAGCAAATAGGAGGCGGTTCCACGCTCCTCAAAAACACCTGAACAGAGACCGTCGGATGTAGTTTATCACCTTACCCAGGACGCGGATGTAGTTTATCTTCATACCCAGGAAACGGATGTAGTTTTTCGTCATACCCAGAAAACGGATGTAGTTTATCGTCATACCCAGGAAACGGATGTAGTTTATCTTCATACCCAGGACACGGATATAGTTTATCTTCATACCCAGGACACGGATGTAGTTTATCTTCATACCCAGGACACGCATGTAGTTTATCGTCATACCCAGGACACGGATGTAGTTTATCGTCATACCCAGGACACGGATGTAGTTTATCTTCATACCCAGGACACGGATGTAGTTTATCGTCATACCCAGGACACGGATGTAGTTTATCTTCATACACAGGACACGGATGTAGTTTATCGTCAATCCAGAACACAGATGTAGTTTTTCGTCATACCCAGGACACGGATGTAGTTTATCTTCATACCCAGGACACGGATGTAGTTTATCGTCATACCCAAGACACGGATGTAGTTTATCGTCATATCCAGAAGACAAATGTAGTTTTTCGTCACTTTCTGCTACTCCGTTTGATATGGTAAGGTTTTTAAATGGTTTGTATCCAATTTTGTTCA